CTTTTTTATAGTGCTTTTTTTTTAAAGGTATTATGATACTTTTAACCATTTTACGTAAAATGATACCAATTTTACGATTACTGTTAACTTTTTTTTTATACTAACACATATTTTTGTTTAAAATTATTAATTATTTGTAATAATAATTCTTTTACGTTGTCAAAAATATTATTTATATTATAATAATATTTTTTTACACTTGTTCTTGCTTTTTATCACATTTAAATTTATCACAACTCTTTGTTAGGGTTTATGATAATTCTAATCCAATTTATGCCAACTGGTATCAATTGCACAACTATTCTTACTTTTTTTATATTACGATACTTTTAACACACTTTTATGTCAAATGATTCTAATTTTACAATTATTATCACTTTTTTATGTTAACATTTTTATTGTTTAGAGTTATTTTTATTTATAATAATAAATTTTTTTATGTTGTTAATTTAATTATTTATGTTATAATAATATTTTTTTACGCTTGTTGTTATTTTTCATTACGTTTATGATTATCATAACTTTTTCTTAAAGGAGTTAGAACACTTCTAACCATTTTATGCAAAAAAAAAAAAATTTAATTTTACTATTATTTTTATCTTTTTACATTACCACCTATTTTTTTTATGTAGGATTATTTTTATTTATAATACTAATTTTTTTACATTACCAATTTAATTATTTACATTTTAATAATATTTTTTATACTTATTGTTCCTTTTCATTACATTTAGAATTATCTTAATATTTTATTAATGTGTAACAATACTTATAACTATTTTACATCAAAAAATATTAATTTTACGATTATTCTCACTTTTTTACATTAACTTTTATTTTTTGGTTTAAAATTATTTTTTATTTGTAATAATATTTTTTTTTACATTTCTAACTTAATTATTTTTATTACAATAATATCTTTTTATACATGTTGTTACTTTTCATTACGTTTATAACTATTACAATTCTTTATTAGGGTATTACGATATTTTTAACTCATTTTACATTAAATGATATCAATTTTATGATTATTATCATATTTTTATATTAATACTTATTTATTGGTTTAGAGTTATTCTTTGAGTTTAAGGTAATAATTCTTTTTATGTTATCAACTTAATTATTTACGTTATAATAATAGTTTTTTACGTTTTTTCTTACTTTCATTATGTTTTGAATTAACACAACTCTCTCTTAAGATGTTATAATACTTCTAATATATTTTATGCTAAATAATACTAATTTTACTATAATTTTCCTTTTTTTACATTAATCAATTTTCAATTAAAATTTTTTTAAATATTATATTATCTTGTCCTCTTTTTTAAGAATTTTAAATAAATTATATTTATTTGTTAAAATTTTTTTCTATTTGATAAATAATATTTAATGTAATTAATTAAAATTAAAGTATTAGGTTAACAAGTAATTAATTATTTTATAATTTAAAAAAATTAATGATTTATATTAATTCTTTAGACTATTCAATATAAGACAAAAAATTTATGCTTACCGTAGAAGTTCCCAAATATACAATCTCCATTGACTCGCTCCCCTTGAATCCAGTCATCGATTGACAAATCCCACTTGGCCCAACAACAAAACAATTGGTACCATCCGTTAGCCAATAACAATCCACTTTTAGATTCCCTCCAAATCATACTACAACCTTTATGCACCCCTTTCTCTTAATCTTCATTTCCAAATTTTTTCTTTCAATTAGCTTCCAAAAAGAAAACCTTCCTCCAAGCTCCAAAAACTACAACCATGGCTGCTAAGACACTGATGAGCTGTGGCATAGCCACCGCATTCCCTTCAGTCCTTTCCTCTTCCAAGTCAAAGTTCGCCGCCACGGTTTCTTGCCTAGTTTTGGTGCCAATGTTAGCCACCGTGTTAGCATGTCAGCTGAATGGATGCTTGGTCAGCCCAGGCCACCTTACCTTGATGGTTCAGCACCAGGGTAAGGTTTCAAAATATAGCTAAAAAAGAAAATAAAAATTCTGTTTTCGATCTGTTTTCTAGCCATTTTTGAAGTATTTCTTACATGTAGATTTTTTTTTTTTTCAGTTACTCTTGGTGAGGTCCCTGAGAACCTCTGAGCTGATTCACTGCAGATGGGCTATACTTGCTGTTGTTAAGTGTTTTTTTTTCTAACTCTTAAAATGTTTAATTTTCTTCTTGACATTTTAGTTAATAGTTTAATCTCTGGTAGAATTAATATACGTAATCTGCAATTTGTTAATTTTATGAGCAAGTTTTCCATAGGAAAAGAGTCCTTTGGGGGAAAAAAGTTGACTTTCGATGTATGTGAAATTTGCGGCCTGGTATCTTGGTTCCAGAGACCTTGGGATATGGAAACTGGGTAAAGGCTCAAGAATGGGCTGCAATTCTTGGTGGACAACCCACTTACTTAGGCAACCCTGTTCCATGGGGTACTCTCCCAACCATCTTGGTCGTTGAATTCCTAGCCATCGCCTTCGTTGAGCACCAACGCAGCATGGAGAAGGATACCGAGAAGAAGTACCCGGGTGGTGCTTTCGATCCCTTGGGATAATCTAAGGACCCCAAAAAATTCAATTCATTCAAGATCGTAGAATCAAGAACGGTAAACCCTTCACACTCTTTTCCATTTCCCATTTTTGTTGCGTCGCAAGTTAATTTGAAGCAATCAAAGTTGGGGTTTTCTAGCTTGATAATTTATGATTGATTTTTGTTGTTACAGGTCGTCTGGCATAGTTGGCGTTAGTAGGATTCTGTGTTCAACAATCAGCTTGCCCTCGCACTGGACCCTTGGAGAACTTGGCAACTCACTTAGATGATCCATGGCACAACATTGGAGATATCATCATTCCCAGATCAATTTTGCCTTGATGATGATGATCGAATATTTAATATAATGTGCATTCACCCATTGTGTAAAACTTCCTTGTAATCATATGTAATGAATCAGAACTTCATGACTTTGGTATTTGTAATTAGCCTTTTTACAAGCTCCTTTTTCTCTGATTTTTTGTTTAAAACACGTTAAATATTGTGAAAGTTTTGGCCTCTCTTTCTGCTTTGAAAATTCTAAACGTATCATATTTTAAAAGGAGGGTATGCTCCAAGGGCTCAAATCAATAACATGCATTTTACGTTTAATTTAATTGATAACTTTAATTAGTAATGATCTTGTTGTGTAACACCCACCCAAACGAGGCAACAAGATGCAAATAAATTTATAAAAAAAAAAAAAACAAAAACAAAAAAAGCAAACAAAGTACTAAGAAATGATGTACGAAAAATAATAACTGACAAGAATATAAAGATTCAGCACAAAGACAATAAGAACATAAATTAAGATTTTTATTTCTTTTTTGTAAACCTGAAAATGGTTAAGCAGTTATCATCATGATAAAGAAAATTCAAGGCAATGTTGAAGCTGGTGGGGTGTGATAGCAAACACAAATGGTTCCCCCAAAAGGTGTTGGGTCATCCTCGCATGCAGATCTAATCAGCCTGCTTCCATAAGCAGCTTTGCATGTGTTCTGACAATCAGGCTGGGAACATTGAATCACAACTTTTACAGCTTGTGCTGGTTCTGGTGCTGTGGCCATGAATGCCAAGATTAACAAAGCTAAAACAATGGCCATTGGCACCATTCTTTTACCCCTCAACTCCATCAATATCTTTCTCTATCAGACAAAACCTTTGCCTTTCCTTTGAATTTCTGGGAATAAATTGGAAAGTTTAATGATTTTGAGTGACCAAGACTATGGCATTTAAAGAGTTAATTTGGTGGTTCTGACCATAGCAAGTTTTGGGTAGTAAATAGAGATACTATTATTTTCCTTTTTTGAACGATACATGCCTATCTTGAGCTTTGACTTATGAATACAAGGCAGGAAATAATTTGGAGTTACTACCTTTCCTTTTCTTTTAGAAGAAATCTGAATTTTAAATAAGAAAAAAAAAAACAGATATATATATATATATAGTTGGGAATATATAGTACATTAAATATACAAAAGGCAGGAAATAATTTGGAGTTACTACCTTTCCTTTTCTTTTAGAAGAAATCTGAATTTTAAATAAGAAAAAAAAAAACAGATATATATATATATATATATATATATATATATCTAGTTGGGAATATATAGTACATTAAATATACAAAAGGCTTGTGTGAACACAAAATTCTATGGAATTGCCAAATTTCAGTATTAGTCCAACAATCATGTGATTCGGTTCTTTAATGTATTGTTAAAGCTAGAAGTGTAAATGATACATTAGTACTCGTAAGTTACTCGGATTCGATTCGAAAAAAATTCAAATTCGATTCGATTATTGTCGAGTCGAGCTCGAGCTCGAGTAGCTCGACTTATCGATCGAGCCGAATTCGAGTATTCTTATATCTGACTCGAGTAGCTCACAAGCTTAATCGAGCTTTTATATTTAAATATATTTTTATTATTTTAATTAATAAAATATTTCGAGTCCGAGTTCGAGTTCGAATTCGAGCATGAATAATCGAACTCTTGTCAAGTATACGAATCGAGTTTATTTTTACATATTAATCGAGCTTAATCGAGGGAGTTCGAGTAGTTCGAATTCGATCACGAATCGAGCTCAAGCTTGAAAAATAAAACTCGATCGAGCTCGAACCGAATATCGAACTCCGAATTGTGAGTCGAGCTCGAGCTCGAGCTTCTCACTATTCGACTCGGCTCGACTCGTTTACACCCCTAGTTAAAGCTCCATATTCTGTCAAAAGTTTCTCCTCTTTCACTTGAGATACTCCTAAAATCAAGTAATTTGATGTCATTGACTTCATATGAATTGTGATTATAAATAAATAGATGAATTTATATTTGAAATTATGTAAATGTAATACCTAATAAGCATTCATGCTACATAGGTTACTTTGATGCTTCTCATGTCATGATTCCAATTAAATGTGATTGCTGGGAAGATTACATTATAATGTTAGCAAGAAAATTGGAAATATGTCTGAGCCCGGGTTCAAACAGGGGACCTCTAGTGTGTCTAATGTATTGCATATTGTTCTGATGAAGTACTTTTCTAGCATTTCTTATTCAAGTACCAAAAAAGCACAAGTTGCTAGCCTAAACTTCTATTGATACAGTAAATGAAAAAGGCCCCTGCTCTATATGGGTGTAAATACCAGTAACCAAAGCATTGTTAGGACAGAAAAGAGTGTGACGACTAGGGAATTCTGACCACACGAACATGATTGAGAACCCATATCTGTCAAAGGCAAAAACATTAAAATAAAAATTCATGTTTAAAACAGATAAATCTATCTCATTAATTTTCCCACAAATTGAAAACAAAATTTTGAAACAAAAGTGTGTACCTGAGACTGGACTTGCAGTAGATGGAGCAGTTTGGTTGATTGGGGTATATAATTGTTGTGTGCTTTGTGAAATTGATGCTGACATCCCAAGGTAAGACCTTGTAAGCTTCTTGACCACAGCAATCTGCTGTGTACTGAAAAAATAAAAAGCTTAAATTTTCTTCAGATTACAATGGAAAGTTTCTGTAACATAAATAGGATGAAATTCTGGATGAAAAATTTCAAGTCCTGGTTGGATGCTATATTACCTTGGACTAAGTAAAGGACTGGCACCATATTTTCCTGCATGAAGAGCTTCCAACAAGGTAGCATTGGTCAATGTTTGCAAAATGAACAATCTCTTTCTATTTGGGAGAGAATTGCTTGCCATTATCACATTTGCAGGAACAGCTCCAAATCTGATCAGTAGTATTGAAAGTGCAGGAAATAGCAACTTCAGCAAATGAATCTTCAGCTTCAGGATAACAAGTTTATGCAGAAAAATGTTTAAGAGGATTAAATTGGTATTAAAAGACTCACGAACAAGAACCAGGGTAATCATTGATTTCTCTGCAACCTCCTTCAGGACAAAGGTACCTCAATTTCAGAAAGAAACATTTCAACATTAAGTAACCAAGTATTCCCAGGAGAAAAATTAGAGGAAAAAAGTGAATCCAAATTAAACATAATTGAAATTCAAGCAGAATATACCTACATGAAGTCCCTAACTGATTTGCTTGACCAGGATTGATTATGAGGCCCCTCCATAGAATATAACAAAACTGTATCTGCTTTCATAAATGCAATATCACCAAGTTCCTCTACCAAACACCTGAAGGCTCCAGGATCTCCGAAATAAGGGCTATTCAAATGGCAGGAACCATTTTCATTCCCACATCCACTGCAAATTCCTGATCCTTCAAACTCAGAAGGAGCACAAATCTTAGAGAAAAAACCTGCTGCGATTTCGCGTTCATTCATCTTTTGAGAATCAAGTGATTCTTTGATATGGTTGATGGGATAGTTCCAACCAGCAGCTGTGGAGTAACCACCATGGCAAGATTTGTGACCCTCAAAATCCATTAAACTGATTCCCTTGTTTTCCTTGCAAGCTTTTCTGTTGACAACTGCAACAGCTTGATAGCTTTTAGCATGATCACAGTAAACTTCATTTGCAATAGCTTTCATTGAGTAGTTTATGAATGCAACATAAGCCATCCCTGCTTCCAAGTTTATCAAATCTGCTTCCCCTTTTTTTATCGACTCCAAACATTCTTGAGCTGTATCTTTTTGGACACTAAAAAAAGAAAGCAATATGAAGCACAAAGGAGCATTTTAATAAGGGAATTTGCTAATCATAATTGACCTTTCTCAAATGTACCAAAGGATATAGCATCCAAACACAACTAAGTATAAACATCCAAATCTAAATTGGATTTATCTTCTAGTCATTGAAAATCATTCCAACTATAAATTGAAATAATAGCATTCATACATGCTTGTATTCTATAAAATTAACGTATGTCGTTAATTTGTCAATGCCCAAATTGTTAAGTAGTATTGGTTAGAAAATAAATAATTACCACTTCCACGTGTATTCATTAGATTGGTTCAAAGCAATGACAAGCAACTGACAATCCTCATTGTTCTGCCTCAAAGTACACCACCTCACCATCTGCACTCCAGACTCTTCTGCCTCTTGAATACTGCTTGGACCAATCCCTTTAAAACTCTCACTTCCCTCCATCTCTGGTGCTGGAGCCACAGCCACTTCTCCAACCTTCTCCGCCGTCACAGGAACAGGCGCCAATGAAGGAGGGAATGACAATGTTGGTGACGGCGGAGAAACATCATTTGCAGCAGGCGCCGGAGTTCCACCAGAATCTGGCGCCTGAGAATAGTAAGAAGGTGACCCTGGTGCCAAAGAAGAAACAAACCTTGGTGCCGGAGATGGCTCAAAACCTAACAAAGAAGGGAAAAAAAAATTAACAATTGTAACTTTCATTAAAAAAGAAAAGAAGTTAAAGTTTCCCTCAAATGTACCAAAAAATAAATGCAATAAGTTCAACATATATACCTTGGATTCTGGAGGTGAACGAGAGGGAGAGAATAAGGGAAAAAGAGAGTAAGGTTGAGATCTCCATTTGAGAGAGTAGTGTTTTGGTGAAGAGAATGGATTCTGGATTATTTGTTGAGTTTCATTATTTTCTGAAGTGTTTGAGGACTTTAGGCAACTTTAAGATGAAGGTACTGAAAATGAAAGATGATTTGCTACCTTTTTTTTTCTTATTCTTTATTATACCATATTGTTCTTTTTTGCTTGTTAGGTTTTCTATGGATCTTGATTTTAGTTTTTAGGAGGGTAACGAGCAATGCAAGTAAACGGCTTTAATATTTTTTAAGAGTTGGTTCATGCATGGTTTTGGTTTGCTATATGTGAAAGATTAGTCATTGTGGTTGGATCTGATTTTGATAGTGATTATTTGCTTAATTTTGGAAACCAATACAGCTACTTTGGAGAATTAAAGGATATTTGAGTTAGGCTTTTTTTTTTTTTTCCTTTATATATATTAGGTTATAAAAATGGAAGTCATGTAAACCTATTTAGTTGTCTAAGTATTTGATTTAATAATTGATTGATGAATGTTTCTCATATTTAAAGAATTGAATTTAAATTTCTCATTTTTTTCAATATAAAAAAATTAGATAACCTTAGTTTATTCAATATTCAATTTCTCTATTTATACATAGGATTTACATCCAAAACTTTAGAAGAGAGTATCATGTACTTTTAATTAAGAATAAATTCCAAAGTTTGCCTAATAAAAATACATTTTTAACTCTTGGTAAGAGGGAATAAGCTCATGATCCAGTCCTTTAGACACAAGTATTTCAATCTCCTTTGGCACCTTACTTCTTCAAACCCACAATTTATTGCTATTATTTTTTAAGCAATTGACAACTGCATGAAACTCAAAGAAAATAAAAAATAAAAAATAAAAAATAAAAATCTCTATACCTCGAATCTCATGTGACTAACTAGGCCAAGGAAGCTGCACATGCAAGGATAATCGGATTATTAATTTCAACCCAAAAGTGAAACAAAGAACAACAATTTGTGGGTTTCCTTCATTAATCGTCACCAAATTATGGCCTTATGTCTCCATTGACTATATCCTAATTAATTCCATGCATCTTACGCTAATCAGATAAAATCACTTTCAAAGTTATACATTTATGAATATATGTCAGTTTAACTTGTGCAAAATTTTCCTACTAGGTACGGATCAAAGAACAACTTTTTTTTTATTAAATTGTTACTACAATTTTTCTAGCTTTACTCAAGCAAGTAAAATTGATGTCTTTGTCAAAATATTTCAGAGTGAAATACAATTACAAGTTCAAATTTGGGATGATAGAAATGGATAGTACTCGTTTTGACATTCTTGCAATTATTTGAAGGCAATTAGTTTTAGGGGTATTTGGTTTGGGAGAATCTACACATTTTTCTTTATAATCTTACTGTTGGGTATTTGATTCCAATGTTTGGTTAAAAATCATCTGATTCCGAGGAAATCTGACATATTTTCAATAGTACCTAAAGTCTTGGAATAAAAAATCCATATATCCCTGTGGTATTATAAGATTATGGGGAGGGAAGTAACGTTATTTTCAAATTTGACCTGAATAAAAAAGGCCTAAGATAGTCATTACCATTTTGAAAAGCATGTATGGAAATGAATACAAATCAGTTCTAGGTTTATGCTGGTAAAAAATTTGGTATATATATGACATTTAACCTTGAAAATACCTTCAATAATCCCTTACAAAAAATTGAATCCGATTATTTAAAGCATTTCTGGGCAAAGATGTCTTGAACAATCACCTCATAAATCATAAATTTTTATGAGGTGATTGTTCAAGGCATCTTTGGCCATAAACGTTTAACTAACTTCTATTAAATTTTTTGTAAGAGATTATTCAAGGTGTTTTTGCCCAAAAGTGCCTTGAATAATCTCTTACAAAAAATTTAATAAAGGTTATTCAAAGCATTTTTGATTAAAAAAACGCCTTTAATAATCCACTTATAAATTTTTATGAGGTGATTGCTCAATGTGTTTTTGGTCAAAAATGCCTTGAATAATCCAAAAATTTTTTTAAATGAGGTTATTGAAGATGTTTCTAGCCAAAATGCCTTTAATAATCCCTCGTAAAATTTTATGAAGTGATTACTCAACACGTTTTAATCAAAAACACCTTGAATAATCTTGAAAAAAAAAATTTAATGGGCTTATTAAAGGCGTTTCTAGCCAAAAACACATTGAATAATCTATAAAAATTTTTTAATGGAGTTATTGAAGGTATTTTTTGTCAAAAATGACTTGAATAGCCCTAAAAAAATTTTTAATGAAGTTATTAAAAGCGTTTCTAGCTAAAAATGCCTTTAATAATCCCCTCATAAATTTTTATAAGGTGATTACTCAAGGTATTTTTGGCCAAAAATATCTTGAATAATGGCATTTCTGGCAAAAAATACCTTTAATAATCCCCTCATAAATTTTTATAAGGTGATTACTTAAGGCATTTTTTGCCAAAAACGTTTTGAATAGTCTCAAAAAAAATTTTTAATAGAGTTATTAAAATTGTTTCTGGCCAAAAATACTTTCAATAATTCCCTCATAAAATTTAATGAGGTGATTACTCAAGGCATTTTTGGTAAAAAATGTCTTGAATAATCCTAAAAAATTTTTTTAATGAGGTTATTGAAGGCGTTTCTGACCAAAAACGCCTTCAATAATCACCTTACAAAATTTTATGAAGTGATTACTCAATACATTTTTTTTTCTAAAAATGTCTTGAATAATCCCTTTCATTTTTATATTGAGGATTCTTCAAAGTATTTTTTTCTAGCAAAATAATCCCTAATAAAAATTGAATAGAGGCTATTTAAGGTATTTCTAGTCAGAAACGCCTTACAAATAATCATTATTTAAAAATTATTCTTTTTTTTTGTTCATAAATTATTGTGTTATGACATAATCTTTCTTCAGATACGTCTATAAATAAATGATTAAAGCATTTGTATGGAAAAATACCTTCATTGGTTATCAATTGAGGCATTTCTTCCTACAATCGCCTTCAATATTCTTATATTAAAATTTTGTTTTCCCTCTCGATGATCGTGTTATGACAATATGAATGTTCTAACGTCTAATCGTGAAGTAGAAGAGAATCTAACTATCAAATATGTCTTTTTCATGTTTCAATTGCAAATACAATTGAAATTTATATGTCAACAGATCTTAGCTCATAGCATTTACCTTTTTTTTGAAAAAATTTCAGCTTTTTCATCCATCATATAATCTTCGTCCTATTAAGTTCATCATCGACTTTTACGCAAAACGTTATGTATACTTTTTTATTGATAGTGTGTAATTCATATTGCCTTCCAATGAACTTATTTTTCCTTTTTTAGATGTCGTTTAGCCTTGGATTAAAGGCGTTTCCAATATATATGTTTTATGGTTAAATTAATTTAACGCCTTCCAATCTTCCAATATTTTGTTTGTGATTTATATTTTATTTGATGATGTAGGGGGATTCCATCCACCGTATGCTAAGAGAGTTAAACTTATAATAGAACATCTTATGATAACCTATGTATTAGAGAGTTAAACTTAAATGCAATGGTCTTTGAGAGCAATATATAGTGTGTAGATCATATTAGAATAGATAAGAGAGTTTTTACAAAATTATGTCATTTGCTTAAAACAAAAGAAAGGTTACAGTCATCTGATCATCAACATTTGATTACACATGTTGAGCCATCTAATTATTGGATTCAATTTAGAGATAATCTGGTTAATGATATGTTCACTCATTGGCTATGATCCCGATGATAATAACTTTATAGATATGTTTTGTATTTTATTATTTGTTTGCCCAAATGGTTTTTATTTTATGTACCATATGGTTGATATTGTCTAATGAATATTACAATTTGGAGAAGGCATTGCTTTTTTTCTATGTGTATTCTTCTATTTCATTCTCATGATTGTTTTTGATTTATGATATTGATATTGTTTCAAAATGTCTAATCATGTGATTAGAAATTAAAATGTCTTCATTTCGTGACAATCCATTGTAGCCCATTCGATGCGTATCCAGAAGATGATTGGATACTTCTGGTTTTGGTAACCACTCATGGATTAGAGAGGAGGATTTGCTTTTGGTTCAATGCCTACATGCTTTGGTTGATGATCCTAGATGGAGAGCAAATAATGAGACGTTTCACATCGGATATCTAGGTTATATTGAATGAATGCTGGAGCAAGTCATTCTTACTTTATAACTTAAAGCCACCCCCACATCGAATCCAGGATTAAGTTGCTTAAAAGACAATATCATACAATTTGTGATATGAAAAATTCTAATAGATTTAGATGGAATGATCAAGAAAAATGTCAACTGAGAAAGAAGTATTTGATGAGTGGGTTCGGGTAACTTTTTAGATGATATTATGGCATATCTATATTTTTTTATGTTGTTTTCAATGGCTTTTATTTGATTCATCTTTGTTTGAAATTTTCCAGTCACACCCATAAGCTAGAGGATTATAGAACAAACCTTTCCCATTTTTTGATGATTTTAAAGTGATATTCGAATTTGATAGAGCAACCGATCAATGAGCTTAAATAGTAGTCGATGTAGTTGAATCATTAAATGCTAATGAGGATACTTCTCTCTTGAATTTGATATCAATGTCAAAGGAAATGAGGAAAGAAGAGACAATGGAGATGATAATGTATCTATTGCTTCGAACAATGCTAGGACGATGTTGTCAGGTAAAAAAGAGTGGTAAGAGCGATAATGGAGCAATTGATAGGTTGGTACATCAGATTGCCAATATTGGTGCTTCATATGAGAGGGCTGTCAATGTTGTAGAGGACATTTTAGTTTACTTTAAGACAAAAGTCGAGCATATAGATAGAAGAAAGGCACTTGTTAATGAAATTATGCAACTCAACGAATTCACGCCTGATAAAGTACTCACCATTGGTGAGTATATGATGAAAAAAAAATCATAAAATTAAGTTTTTCTTTACGATGTCGACTGTATTTAGAAGTAATTATATTAGGAAACAATTAAACGAATGTAATGCATATCGCCCATCGTTTGACTTTTCTCCTCTTGAACACATGTGGATCGCACTACATGTTGTTTTTAGATTCAT